GGGGCGGCCGTCTCCATAACATCTGCCGTTGCAGGAGCATCAGCCGTTTCTTCACAGGGTGGTGACGTAGGGGGCGATGGGACAGCTGACGAGGAATCTGTAGAAGGCACCGATTGAAACTCGCTGTTGTCGGTGTTGTCATCGGGTTGTAGGCATGAAGAACTAGAAGGGGTCTGGGCTGGCGAGGTCTCAACGCGTCCGTCGAGATCGCCTGCACTTCCCTCTTCTGGTAGATGAGGTTCACCACTGCGTCCAGTAGAGACATCATCCGGGGTCGCCGTACTTATCGTTTCCGACAGGGGTTCTTGTCTTGAGTTTCGTGGTTGTGGTTGTGTGAAAACCCCTCTGACTCGAGAGTGTGGGATTGGAGAACCTGGGCGTCATTCGCCGAATGCTAGGATTCCCGTCGTAGCTAGGATTGCCAGTCAATCATCTGTGCGACTACATACTAGTTGCTAGTTGTCAGACTGGTATTCTAGCTGTCTGACCTGTTGACTGGCAATCTGGGATTCCGTAGTCTACGAATGCGCCGAGGTTCTATGTGGTCGAGGAACGCATGGTGTGAACGTGGTTTGACACAAATGCGGTCCCGACACACATCCCCCGGGTCGGGTGGGTGTGGATAAAGCTCACCAGGTCAGTGGTGCATTGCTGCTCCACATAACAAGGTGGATGGTTGCCACAGGCAAATAGCCTGGAATCTGGTGACGTAGACATACACGTATCCTTTTGCGTCCGTGCGCACGCACGTACGCGAGCGTTTCGTGTTTGTAAGTTGTGTGATATTCACAGTGCGTAGAGTTGTGGCACACTCTCTCGTTACAGCCGTGATTTCACTGACGCGACACTGCGTTAAGCTTTCAATGAAAACCCCTCTGACTCGAGAGTGTGGGATTGGAGAACCTGGGCGTCATTCGCCGAATGCTAGGATTCCCGTCGTAGCTAGGATTGCCAGTCAATCATCTGTGCGACTACATACTAGTTGCTAGTTGTCAGACTGGTATTCTAGCTGTCTGACCTGTTGACTGGCAATCTGGGATTCCGTAGTCTACGAATGCGCCGAGGTTCTATGTGGTCGAGGAACGCATGGTGTGAACGTGGTTTGACACAAATGCGGTCCCGACACACATCCCCCTGTTCCAATTCCACACTCGCAACTCAATCTCGGGATCATGCGAAGGAAACTGTTATGTGGAAGTAGTGATCTCAGACTACTCGATAGCTCTTGTCACGGCGTCGTTAACTCGGTTGCCTGAAAATTCTGTGGGTGTACTGTGCTTGTACTTGTCTGAGCCCGGTCATTTGTCGTGAGTAGACCTGGTCCACCATCTTCGTATCAACCCATCTGCCATGTTCAGCGATAGTGACGCTGTCCAGACCACTAAGCCGCATCAATACGACTCCAGTTCGTCTCAGTGAATGGCTGGTGCATCTTCCTTCGGAGTCTGTCCCCATAACCGTCCGAATCAGGTCTTCTATGTCAGCTCTCAGCTGTGCATGGGTTGCACCGAAAACAGGTCGCATCAAATTCGACTCTTGTGCCACGATAGCCTTCAGTCTGTGATATGGGCACCATGCCAACGAGGACTCGTAGGGCGTATCTGTACCTTGTGGGCATGCACACCCAACGGTGATCCATTGGGGTGCAGTGGACGTTTTGCTCTTCCTCACACGTATCCTTACCATATCAGGTTGGAAGGCTATGTCCTCACACCTGAGACTTGAGGCTTCCCGTATTCTCAGTAGAGCACATATGCTGACCAGGATACATACTGTACTACTCGTTCGGCGAGATCTTGGAGTTAAGCGCGAACAGTCTTCACCTGTTCGGCGGTGAGTGTGCAGGCTCGTTGGGGAGGTGCCTTGCCCTTGATCTTGTCAACTGCTTGTTTAGCGAGTCTGATGATTTCTTCCTCCATGACTGTCATGAGTCTCGCTCGGGGGTGTAGTCTGTTCATGATCAGCAAGGTTCCGATGTATTTCTTGATAGTACTGCCGGCATAACCCTTGCGGGTCTTTTCGGAGTTGGCTTCACAGAGAAAGGCCGCGTAGCGGACTAGCATGTGTGGTTCCAATGGGAATGTTTCTTCTGGGGAAGATCCGTTGTGTGACACGAACACTTCGTATCCGCGTTTGATTGATGCATATTGTTGTTGCGTACTATCGGCCCTGGCTTAGATCAGGAAATCCAGCATTTTTCTATCCCCTATCCGCTTATCACTGCTTGTGGTTGATCCACATCGGCATAGTACGGAGTCGGACTCCTTTTCCGTACGTGGCTGATGTCGGGACGGTTCGTGAGTAGTATTCGTCAGCAGGGCATCCGCCTTCCGCTTGAGTGATTGTAGGACCCACGTTGGAACTGCCATGTATAGCGGTGGACACAGAATGTATACTAGCAAGTCGAATTATCACTTGTTTCCCCCCATTTGTCAAGCTACTTCTAACGGTATACTTCGAACTCAACGTGTTTCGAGATCGGAAACGTGATAGTAACGGAAACACTATATCATATGCCATATAGCCTGTATGGGCCATAGTTCATCGTGGGAGACTCTGAAGTAGAAGAGCCATGTCAACCTCGGTCATCGTAGACCCCTTCATATACTCTCTGGCCTGTTGAGGCGAGTGCATCCTCGACAGATCATCGGCCAACCAGTTGGACTTGCTGTCGAGGTGAAAGGCCCGGAGACCTCTCCCATAGCGCCAGGCCCTCGAAATTTGGAGCATGACTGCCTTCATTCGGGGTGATTTGCAAGACAGTGCGTTGAGAGAATCGACGCATGCCTTATTGTCGCACAAAAATATAGCAGGCCGGTCGTTTGGCGCCAATAGACAGCAACAGTAGCACGCCAACAGCTCCAGGGGTGCCATGTCCCGATGGCTCCACTTAACTGCGTTTGCCGGCTGAATAAGATCCGACAATGGCGAATTGAGGGGGTCTGGTAGCTGCATCATAAACCAGTATGCGCGACCGCCGGTAATTACTGTGCCTGCGATCCCTGTGCAGCAAGCATCAGAGACACATACAGTAACTCGATCGACATCGAAATCCTCGTCTAGGGAGTATCCTATGAGAAAAGTAGCTGGAATTCTCGATAAGTAACCCCCGTTATTTTCGGAGGTGCCAGCATCACCGTAGGCAATAGCCGTTCGAAATATCTCCAAGTCGGGGATCGCGGCCTTAGCTAGAGGTATGTGCTTCATATAAGGGTACTGCTTACGTAAGGTGTCAGCAGACGCCATAGTCGCATACACGTTTGTGAGGCAAGGGCGGAGGGCTCTGCATACATGACATAACCATGAGAGCTTACCTGCCAGCGACTTCACGCGGGCGATCTCGACCTTACCAGTAGATGCATGAGAGCTCAATAGAATATCTATTTCACTCAGTAGACGGTCTCTCTTCTCCAGTGGTAAACCGACGCTGGGCTCCGACAGATCCCATTCGAACCCCAGTAGGTGCGGCCGCTCTCCTACTCGAATTTTCGGGTATGCATTCATAAACCCCAATGTTTCATCTAATAGAAGGAGGGAGATAAGTCTGCGAACCGCCACCTCCTTCACAGTGAAATACCCACTATCGTCGATGTAGAGCTGCATCCCCTCCGGATCATCTGCTGAGCAGAAAATACGCTTCGCTAGGCGGACCACACCCGCATAAGTTCTCACCCATAGCACTGGGCTGCTACGGAGCCCGAAGGGTAGCCGTAAATGCATGTACCAAACATGTTCGTCTCCTGGCTCGGACACGGGCGCCCTCAGCCTGTTAACGAAGTAGCGTTGCTCCCATTCCAAGAGAGGTATATGTCTAAACGCCCCACTTATATCCCTCTCGATACACACCACTTTGGACTGCCGTCCTTTCTTCTCCCAGTGGCTTCGGATGCGGTTAACGATGAATGCCGTTGTCAACACGCCGGGTAACTGGGTTGTATTCCTCATCTTATCCACCTTGCTGTTAACCATGTTACGGCGTAGGTCATCTATGACCCGTATACCACTCGCCTGGGAACCTGGCTTGCTTTTCTTCTCCACTGCGGCAATACGACAAGGTGTAGCTCCCTCAGGGATCTCTGAAGGCCCTAAACGGACCATGTGTTGCTGGGCAACTTCTTTGTTGAGATACTCGATGACACTGTCGTTGAGTTCTTCGGCGGATTTATAGTTCCGCCATGCGTCTCCACTGAAATAAGAGAGTTCGCATTCTGGATCTTCGGCGTCCTTGTTGATTTCGGGCCAGATAGGAGAAAACGGGACCTCGCTGTCGATCCCGGTAGGTACACCACCATGCTCGTAGATGCTTCGCAGCAACTCGGTGTCCTCTACTAACAGCGGGTCAGTATTGGTAGCTTGTAGCAAGGCTTCGAGTAGTCTCGCCTGTATCTCGCAGGCTTCGGACTCCGGCTCTGTAACACCGAAGAGTTGCCGCAGCTCCTCCCTCACTCGGAGCGCTTCGTCCTTGAGAACGGGTATAATCGACTCCCAAACATCTCCTCTAACTCCTTGCTCCTCTCGGCTCAGTTCGATCCATTCATGTAGCTTTGCAATAGACGGGAGTTGCAGTAGCCGTTCTGTAGATGCATCCAATGTTTGTCTTATTCTGGAGACGGAGGGGCAGAGGTGTGCCGGATCGACTCCGCCCCACAGAGTCCCCCACTCACAGCTTCCGGCTTTACACGACCCATCTGTAATTTTTGAGATGATGGAAAGCTCCTCATCATGGTTCGCATTGACGGCACGCTTGTACAGCTCGACAGCTCTTCTATCGACCTTATGGGGTGGACTTTTGTCCCCGTTAGGCTTAGTCTCTGAAGGCTGTTCAGGTCGACTTATTGCTTGTGGTGTAGGCTGTACCGTGCCAGTACTCCGACGGGACCGCGCTATGGCTCGCCTGGTGCGCTGAGCACGTTGTCTTCTCTCTCTGGCTTCAGCAGATCGTCGGTCTTTACCCATGACTTATGGCGAAGAGCAAACTCGTCAGAATATAACTATTCAGCAACCATCAACGGGTACCAGCACACATAAGATACAGATTCTATGTTCCAACCAAAGCCTTCGGTTGCGTTGAGGCTCAAATGGTTGAGCTAGCGTGGGTGGTTCAGGTTTGAGATTAGTACTGTGGGAGATTTGTTAGCTCCCTTGACTTCTACTTGTCAACACAAAAGCCCCGTTAGCTTGAAACCTCATATACTACTATAGTAAGGAAAGAAAGAAATGGGAGGAGAAAAATTGCGGAAACTCATGGCGATATCAGTCGCCTGACGGGGTATCCATCCGAAGACTAGACTCTAGTTGGTCCTCGATGGTCGGCTGACAGACGAGCTGCTTGATCCCTGTGTGTTAGTGGAATTTGGATATCTATAACCACCTTTGGCCTTGCCTTTGCCCTTTCCTTTTTGAGGTCGGACTGAACCTCCCGTGGCCCTATGTCGATTAGCAACTTCCGACAGGAAGCGAGAGAGAAAGGGAGCTGTGAACTCCTCCGAGTAGCACCTCCAAATTGGGACATTGGTAGCAGCGATCCCTGGCACTGTTAAACGGAAGGCTCGGTCCGCTTCCACCGCGCGATAGGGAGATGTGATGGCGATGCGAGAGATCTCGCATTGATAGCCCAAGAAGGTGAAGACGTGGTCTCGTGCTTCAGGGTCGACCAGGGAGACGGCAAGGATGTAGCGAGCGAACTGTGCTGGCCACTTATTAAAAGCTCCCTCTTCTTCACGTCGACCGAATTGTTGAGCACTCCAATAGTCTCTTTGATGCCTCTCCCCCGGATCGTCGTACACTTCCACCACCTGGCCGGATGTTGTCGTTCGCAAGCGCTTCCGCGCGTTTCCCTCAGACCCACTCTGAGTGAGCATCTTGAAGTCGATGTAGGAGCTGCTAGACTTGGACAACAGTCGCATCACCTTCTCGTCAGGGATCAGGTAAGGGGGTATCGGGCCGTTTGATGGAGTGATCTGGGCCACGAGCCTGGCAACGGTGGCTTTGCCCTCTTCGCGCTCGAGTGCTTTGTGGCCTGCATCAAGGAGGCGCTGGGCCTCAGCGGATACTGCGCATGCACAGCAGGTGGCGACCATCAGAGATGTGCTCCTATGCGAAGCAGGGATAGGGGCCATGTCCACCCTTAACTGCGAGTTAGTGGCCTGCTCGGACTCACTGCCACCACCTGGGGCACTGGAGGCGGCGCTCCCGATCCCGGTGTCCTTAGAAGTGCCGTCGGCGGCGCCGTTCGTGCCACCCTGGTCGACAACGCCACCACTTCGAGTGCCGCTCGGGCCAGTAGGAGAGACACGAGAGTCGCTAACGTCAACGATGCTATCAGTTGGGGCTCCACGTCCGTCTTCTCCGTGAGGTCTCAGTAAATTCCTCCAGTTGTCGTCGCTGATCTTCGCCAAGAACTCTATGCGATCTAGCCCTGCGTCGGTGACGGCATCGAAGATAAGTTGGGCTGCTTGAGGGGGAGTCGCCAAGCTCACCAATATCTTCCAGCAGGGCGAGTTCGTGGAAGAGCTCTGGGTGTCATTCATCGTTGCTGACATTATGACTTGTCTAAGAGGAGAGTTTTTTTTTTTACTGAGGAGAAGAAAAAAAAAGGATTGCCATCAGATTGCCAGCTGCCACTAGTCGCGCGCACTCTATAACTCATGAGGTCCGGGATCCCGAGACTTACTGAGCACTGGTCCCCCCTTTTGAACCATACTAAACAGGAATATTGGAGAATCCCTGCAAATCTCTGACACTCGAACTCAACTCCGAATCATTATAGTGATCCGAGCCGCTCGGTTGTCCACCAACGCGACTCAATACAGATGTTTTTTTTGTTTTTTTTTTCACAAATTACAGGTAGATACCGGATTCAAGTAACCCAAACCTATGAGCTGATGGCTCGTTCTCAGGGAGTAGATGTGAGCAAGAGTAAGGTGGAAGTTCGCACTTCCGCTCTCGAACACTCGCGTTGTCGAAATGGACCCAGCCATCTTCCGGCCTCGTTGGGCCCGCGCGACACGCAGTTGCTTTAAATGATAAGAATGGCCGACTTACTAGCCTCTTCCTGGCCCCACTGAGCCAACGCAACACAGTTGCTCACAGTGCTTAAGACGGCTGACTTACTAGCCACTTCTTGGCCCCACTGGGCCAACGTAACGCAGTTGCGCACACTACTTAGGATGGCTGATTTTCTAGCCACTTCCTGGCCCCACCGGACCAACGCAACACAGTTGTTCACAGCTCTTAGGATAGCTGATTTACTAGCCACTTCCTAGTCCCGTTGGGCCAACACAACACAGTTGCTCACGGTGGCTAGATCGCGTTCTTCACAGAGAACGTAAGGGGGTAGACAAAGTCTATGAAACGCAAACGAGGTAGAGGTTCTCACTTCCACTCTCGAACGCAAGCGCTTATCACCTCGCAGTGCCCCACGGTGGTCAGAGTAGTCGACTTGTCGGCCATCTCCGAGCCCATTTAGCCGAATAACCGAGTACCAGGCACTTAGAGCTACCTGACTGGTAGACTACCTACCGTGGGCAGACAACGTTCCGCATAAAGGGCGTTGAACATAGCGTGAACGAGATGGAGGTTCGCACCTCCACTGTCGAACACGAGCGCTAGTAACCCCGTAGTATCTCATAGTTGGAATGGCCAATCTCTCGGCCACTTCCCGGCCCCACTGTGCCGAATCAACACATGGACTACCAAGTGTAGTCAAATATACGTCTCCGTAGAGGACGATAAAGCTCACCAGGTCAGTGGTGCATTGCTGCTCCACATAACAAGGTGGATGGTTGCCACAGGCAAATAGCCTGGAATCTGGTGACGTAGACATACACGTATCCTTTTGCGTCCGTGCGCACGCACGTACGCGAGCGTTTCGTGTTTGTAAGTTGTGTGATATTCACAGTGCGTAGAGTTGTGGCACACTCTCTCGTTACAGCCGTGATTTCACTGACGCGACACTGCGTTAAGCTTTCAAGGAAGTCGACTTCAATCCATAGTAAAGCATCAGGGTCAGGGGGTATCTCAGGGCCGGCCAGGGGGTCCACAGGGTAACCATCTCCTGGACTCACATTGTCTGTAATGACATCGGGTCGTACAGGGGGTTCAGGACCGGGGGCGTTGCTGAGATCGGGGTCAGGCAAGGGTGATCCAGCACGAAGTAGTGGATCTTGTCGCATAATACCAAGGGCGTCAGGAACGGCGTCGGGCTGAAGGGGGTCGATAGCGACATAATCAGCTGACAGAACACGAACTTGAAGCGTCTCTTGGTGCTTGAGCTTGAGAACCTTATTCTCTTGGCCAGGCATCTGACCAACCACAAACCAACCAGGGCTCCACTTAGGTTCAAGCTTATTTCCGATTTGAGGGCCAAGACGTCGTACTAGTACACGCTGTCCAACATAGAATTGACGAGCAGTGGCCTTCTTGTCGTAGTAAGCTTGGGCTGCAGCAGAGGCGGAGGCGTGGGCGAGGTCAACAAGATCCTCAAGGTGGATCGAGAGGGCCTTGACGTACTCGTTATACCCGAATGGGTCGAATGAGAACTGATCAAGGGCCTGCAACGATGGCAAAAAGACAGACTTTGGTTCACGACCGAACATTAGTGTGAAGGGGGCGAACCTAGTCGCTGAGTGAACAGAACTGTTGTAGTGCCACAATAAAGAAGGAAGATACATGGGCCATTGGTGAGAGTCGGTCACATGAGTACGGAGGAGGCCAATCAGTGATCGGTTAAAGCGCTCAACCAAGCCGTCACCCGAGGGATGATACGGTGTGGTATGGCTTTTCTCAACTCCTAAACGCTCAAGGACAATCCTAAGGGCATTCGACTCAAACGCAGGGCCTTGGTCACTATGCACACGACCAGGGGGCCCGAAAATGCTAAAAAGACCTAACAGGGCTCTAACCACTTCTGTGGTATCCTCGTACTTCACCGGCATGGCCGTAGCCCACCGTGTGAAATAATCTTGGACAACCAATAGTGAACGGATATTATCGTCATTGGGGGGCACCTTCAAGTGGTCGATAGCAATCAAGTCCCAGGGTTTGCCGATAGGCATAACTCCTAAGGGGGCTCGAGGTACCGTTGCCTTGACCTGGATGCATCTAGGGCATGTCTTCTCGTGGTTGAGGAGATCGGTGCCCATCCCGGGCCAATAGGCATGCAACTTGAGCTTGTCGAGAGTCTTGCGTACGGCGAAGTGACCGTCTTCCTTGTGGTAGGCATCCACAACATCAGATCTCAAGGCAGGTGGTATCACTGGTAGGAACCGGGGTTCTCGTTCGTTATCGAACTTGCGACGGCGTATAAGTAGGCCATCTAGCACATCCAGTTGATTCCACAGCTGCTTATAAGGGCGGAAGGCGAGGTCGGTCAACTCGGTCCTACGTAAGGGCAACGGATCCGAAAGACGTTCCTTTACCTTCCTTGTGACATCGTCACTATCCTGCTCTCGCCTTATATCGTCGATCGACCACCGTGCCGACAATGCCGTTATACAAGCGGCTAATTGTCGACGAGCGGCTACAACAGATACAAGGGCACGGGTAGTGTCAACGTCCTTGGCTGGCTTCGTCATGAGAGGCTCTGACTCCATCGGCTCCATCGGTAGGGTATCGTCGTCGAGCTGGCGTATCCTGGAAAGAGCATCAGCACACACGTTTTTCTTACCTGGTACATATTTGACTATGAACGAATACGCCTGCATGGCCAAAAGCCATCGCTCCAGCTTCTTTGAGCCGGCCTTAGCTAGCCAAGTCAAGGGCTCGTGGTCTGTATATACCGTAACCGTCAAGGGGTAGCCGATATGGTAGTGTTGGAAGTAAATCAGGGCTTGTAGGATACCGTATGCTTCCTTCTCGTATGTATGCCAATTGAGCTGGGAGCCCGTCAACGTCCTACTGAAGAATCCCAAGGGCCTTCCCTCTTGCATGAGGACAGCTCCAATGGCATAGTCGCTTGCATCAGTATAGAGCTCGAAGGGGATACCGAAATCGGGGTAAGCTAGGAAGGGCAGGGCTGCGAGACGAAGCTTGAGGGCCCGGAAGGACTCCTCTTGCTCTTGTCCCCAGTAGGTATCCAAATCCAAAGTTTCACTTCCGACCTCTGACACCAGCCGTTGAATTGGTCGTGCCACGTCCGAGAAGTTAGGAACGAAGTTGCGGTAGTAGCCAGCGAGACCCAAAAAGGACCTTATTTCTGCAACGTTACCAGGGCGAGGCCATCTCAAGATCGCCTCTACCTTAGTCGGATCTGGTCTCATACCGTTCCCGTCAAAAAAGTGTCCTAAATAGGGCACCGAGGGGCAACCGAACTCGCACTTCTCGGCGGACAACGTCAAGCCCCACGCACGCAGGCGTGCGAAGACTTGTCTCAAATGGTCTTCGTGAGTCTCAGCATCGGGCGAGAACACGAGGATGTCGTCTAGATAGACACGAACAAAAGGTAGTCCATTAAGTACTTGGTCCATCAGACGTTGAAAGGTGGCTCCAGCGGAGCAGAGTCCGAAGGGCATGCGGACCCACTCATAGAGCGGAAAACCAGGGCCAGGGCAAAAGGCTGTCTTATGAATATCCTGAGGGCGAAGAAGGAACTGCCAATAACCAGACTGTAAGTCAAGTGTGCTGAACACCTTCGAACCCGCTAAGTGCTCTTGTACATCATCAGGGCGGGGCAGTGTGTACGAATCAACCTCCGTAAGGGCATTCAACGCACGAAAGTCGATACACATTCTCACTGAGCCATTCTTTTTAGGGACATAAACGCACGGCGAACGATACGGAGATGTACTAGGGCGAATCATTCCTTCTTCCAACAGTTTATCCACAAGACTCTTGACTTCATCCCGCCATTTGTGGGGAATCGGTCGTGGTTTCTGGGAAAAGGGCTTATCTGACTTTAATGGTATAGCATGCTCAACGGAATCGCATTTCCCAGGACGGGAAGAAAATAAATCAGAATACTCATTACATAATTTAGCAAATCTTTTTTTATTGGGATACACAGAAAGGTCAATAGATGGAAGTATAACACGAGGGACCTCATCAGTGAGGTCGGGGACCGCGAATCTATCGTCTGTAGTGACTCCACTCGGGGGCCATAACGTTCCAATATCGCCAGGCCGTGGAACCGGGGGTAGCCAAGAGTCGGGAATCGGCATTTTTGTCGGTAGCCCATCAGCAGCCAATTCGTCGTTGGTCAAGGGCTCTTTGACAGACAACATAGCGATCAACCGAGGCCACGGCAAGGCGGAGGCGACAACTCTCTGAACCTTCTTGTGAACCTTCCTTTGGAGATCCCTTCGGCATCTACGCTTGGCGTTTCGCTTCTTCCGACCGTTATGGCGAGAAGCCTGGGTATCGTCGAAGTTAACCTCAGGGGAGTTGGGACCTCGGAGAGGGGGTTCGGGCGGCATAATCAAATTCTTGCTAGGGGTTTTCTTTTTTTGTAAGTTAGACAATGATTCAATCATACGGGTGGGTACCTTCAAGGGTTCAGGTTTCCTTCGCGTAGCCGACACGGAGTACCCACGACCAGCATCCGTTA